TGGTACTTAGTATAGCTTGCTAATTAACCCCCCCCCCTTTGAATAATCAGATTGATTTTCTCCACTTACTGAGTCAACCACTCTCACACTCTTGTTTTCTTTCTCTTTTTGCACAACAACAACAACAACAACAACCACAAAAACAGCTCGAAATCAACGGTCTCAAGGAGCGATGTGCCGCCTTTCTGATTGAAGCCCTGAACAAGGACGTGCTAGTCCCCGTGCTGGAGATTGCCGTCAACCGGCAGATGGACAAGGTGATCGAGGCCTGCGCCGATCTGCTTCGATCTGATCCGGCGAAGTACAGCGAGGCGTTGTGGGCGGACATTTCCCGTCTGTTTAAACGTCTTCAGTTTGTCCCCCCATTTCGCCCCTTCATGCAGGCCGTCGAGGAGAAGAGAGCAAAGATGGTAAGAGCTGTGCAGAGGGTTGTGACAGCACAAGGATGACAGGAATGTCATCTTGTAATTAACCAAAATCCTCCCTTTTCTTCTTTCATTTCTTTCCATTTGAAATGCGTTCAACAACAACCACAACAACCACAACAACCACAACAACCTAACCTTAGCTTGCTGAAAAGCAGGCAGCTGAAGAAGAGGAGGCTGCTGCCACCATTTTGATGGCCCTTAAAAACGCCGGTGCTAACAATGCCATTGCCACTGCCACTGCCAATGGTAATGGTAATGGCAATGCCTATGCCAACACCGCAACTGAGGCGCACAACAATGCCCGCAAGAAAGTCGTTTTCTCTGTCTCTGTCTCTGTCCTTGCTCCTGCTCCTGCTCCTGCTCCTGCTCCTGCTCCTGCTTCTGCTCCTGTCCCTGCTCCAGTCCTTGCTCCTGCTCCTGCTCCTGCTCCTGTCCTTGCTCCTGTTCCTGTCCCTGCTCCTGTCCCTGCTCCTGTCCTTGCTCCTGCTCCTGCTCCGGCTCCGGCTCCTGTCCTTGCTCCTGCTCCTGTCCTTGCTCCGGCTCCTAATCCTCCTTCTCCTCCTCCTTCTCCTTCTCCTCCTCCTCCTCCTCAACTTGCTCCGTACCATAATCCGTTGCCGTTGCGGCCGCCTCGTCGAGATGCCGCACTGGAGGCCCAATTTCGAGCCCAACTGAATCAGCCGCACATCTTGGCGCGACAGGAGTTGGAACGGCGCTGGCACATGGAGAGAGAGAGGGACGGGTTTGATGATCTAGACGATTTTGTGCTAGGTCCGTATGATGATTTAAACGGGCTTGAGGTAGAGCACTTTATGCAAGGTCAGCCTGATAATGCAGTCGAGCTTGACGACGACGGCTACGAGGACAACTTCGACGACCTGGACCGCCAAAACGACGAGCACCTGCGGATTAGGCTTCGAGAAGACCTACGGCAGGGCGCTGCTGAAGTGCTGGCCAGAGAAGGCATTCGAATCAATCTCTGGGATGATGTTGAGGATGAGGTCATGGAAGTGGTAGTGTCGGAAGACGAAATCGAAGTAGATTTTAATGAAGAAGAGGAGGAGGAGGAGAACAACTTTTGAGATGATGAACACACTAAAGACACTTTTGCGCACACTGTGAGTAACAGATTGTAAAAATTGTTTCTGTGGCAGGCCTTTCCAACTAACTCAAACTGTGTTTTGCTGTTTACAGGTACACACACATTTTTTGAGACGAATTTCACAAGGGAAGTCTTTCCTTAGTTGAAGTAATTATCTTGAAGTGCATTTTGCTGAGTACAATTAAGATCTTACTAAGTCTAAGCACGAACCTTGATTTGCAATTGCACCCAAAAACAAACATATTATCTTTTTTCACTGATCACATTGTTCATTTCACGTAATATCCAAAATACACATCCATAATCTCTATTCGTTCACACTCATAATTTTGATGATGCAGAGATGTTTTTGTTAAGATCTTAGAGTAACGGCTCATTGGCCGTGGCTTTGAGAGTTTAAAGTTAAGTTGCTTGTTTGTGTATATCTTTGCTACTTTTTGAAAATAAAGTCACTCTCACTCTACGCTTTTGTATGTTATCATTACAAAAAACAACTCTTTAAACACATTTGAAAACTCCTGATACGCATCGTAATTTTTGGCATGTTTAATTGTGCCAGTGTGTTTGTGTGCGCATGTTAACTACTTAACCACTCAAAAAACATAAATTAATTTAAAAACCAATCCAAAAAAGTATCATATTTGTGTGTGTATGTGCCCATCCAAATTTGTCATTCTGTCAGCTAGTACTTCTTCCTTCTTCAAAAAACACAGCAAATAAATTAAATAATAAAAAATACAGGCGAAACTCACACTACATAATGATTCGCAAGTACATAATGGCAATAAATTATAAAAAATTTTTTGTAGTTTGTGTTATTTTGTTTTTGTTTCTACTTTAAAGATCGAGTTATGAAGATTTTTAACAAAAATCTTAAAAATTTGTTATAATTTTTAGTGTTTTTTTAAAAAATAGGCAACATGTTCGCATGTACATAATCAGCGTGCTGCACAAAAGCATTATGTAGTGTGAGTTTCGCCTGTACCAAGAGAATCATACCAAGCCCCATTCAAACACATGCTTTTTGAACGGCGCAGGAAAGCCCTCTTTTCAGTAAAACGAGTGTGGTTTTAAGAAGTTAACAACAAAAAGAGGAGTGAAGAGCTGAAGAGAAGAAAACAATCAACCTTAACTGCTGCTTAGGCGGGCATCTTGGAGCGAGTCTTCGAGGCGCTTTTCATTTTGCCAACACCTCCTTTTTTGCTCGCCTGCTTTGCCTTGGAGGAGGGCTTCGCCGCCCAGGAAGTTCTGCTAATGCTGCCACCGCTTCCTTAGTTTGAACACCAGGAGCTGCCGTAGCTTCTCACCACCTCCACCACCACCTCGTTTCGAAGACTTCTTAGCACTGCTGCCCTTCTTCTTCACCGATCGCTTTGAGGGCTTCACGCTGATGTCGCTGGTGTCGTTAGGAGTTCCTGGCGGCACCTTGTTGTTGGTTGCAGAAACCGAGGCCGAAGTGAACTTTTTGGAGCTTCTTTTCTTCTGACTACCCCATCACTGCAGTTTGTACCACAAACTATTATCATGTCGGTGAGTGCTGTACAGACCGTCAATGACTTGTGCATCAATCTAGTATCAAAGGCAAATAATTGCTCTATCTCTTTCGTTCTATTTTATTTAACAAGTTAAAAGTGTACTGTGACGGGTGGTTTTAAAGGTTTCAGTAAAGATGGGAATGAATGAGGATAAGGGAATAAGAGATCGGTAAAAAAGAAGTGGAGAGAGTCTCTCTAGGGATTGGGGATGAGGATGGCCTGGCAGAGGATGACCATGCTTGATCGCGGTGATGGAAGATCTCTGTCAGTGAGCAGGGTGCTCCTTGAAAACGTCGGACAGCGTCAATATCGACTGCGGTAGTCTCTCCTGTCTGTTCGGCTATTTCACCGCCGGCACTGATAGGCGACTTGGCCACATTGGCCACATGTACTTTGACAAAAAATCATCCTCTATACAGCAGTTATCCTTCAAATGTAGTGCTGAAGTCGTCCCGTGTTATGAGCAGCATAACATTTTTTCACAGACTCCAACTCGTCACTGGAAATAAAAAAGCGCTTCTGCTCCAGATGACGTCTGATGCCCTGCCCGTTTGACTAGAAAAATTAACCAAACAAAGTTTTGTTATATTGAAAGCTAATTAAACTAAAGTCAAATCAAAGCAAAAGAAAAAAATTTAAATTGTAAACTACTTACTGTGAAAGGACAAATAGGGCAGTGGCAGGTGTGCGTCACCGCCAGTTCAAAGTGCTGCTGCTTCAAGTGCCGGCGCAGGTTGCTGCGATCACTGCTGGCATAAAGACAGAAGTGCTCGCTGCACTTGTGCTTGTGACTGTCGTCAGCTGTTGGTGGCTGTCCACGGCGGAAAATCAGCTCAGCGGTGAATTTGCGGCACAAGGCCACCTGTGCCTCAGTGCTCATCACCGTCGCCGGCACTGTCGGCAGGAGTGCGCGAATCTCCTCGTCGCTCATCAGCAGCACTTCTGCTTCGGTGGGCCAATTTCTGACTTGGTTGCCACCTGCACCACGATGATTCTCTCCACCGGAGGGACCTCCATTGGTGTTGTTTTGATTGCTGCCGCTGCCTGAGGGAGCACTTCCACCGGTGTTTTCATTGTTGCTGCTGCCCTGGTTGAGGCTATTCATGAGAGGGGCCAGCTGCTCTAGCTCGCGGCGAAGGATGTCCTGGACCTTGTGGTCCCTCTCGCGCTTTTCATCGCGCTGCAGCCGCACTTGTCTGATGATGTTGTTGTAGAGCGTCATCGAGTTGACTCTAAGTTCGACAGAACTTTGAAGCGTTTTTTTGATCGAATCAAAAAGATCAGCAGCTCTACGACGAAGAGCACGTGATTCAAGAATCAGCTTTTTGCTGTGATTCTCGATGTTTGTGCGGCTTTGGTCGCTAGTGCTTACTGATTGACGCATCAGTATCTGGATGTCAAGAAAGTTATCATTCTGATCGCCAATGTTAAGGTTAATGTTGTTGTTGTTGTTGTTGTTGTTGTTGTGGTTGTTTGAAGTTGTGGAATTGCTGTTGTTGGTGGGTGTAGAGTTGCCGTTGTTGGTGGGGGAGGCCATTGCTAAAAAAAGAAAGAAAGACAGACAGAGAAAGGCCAAAAAGAGAGAACAAGAATTATGGTAAACAGTTTTAGAAAGGGTAGGTGTACAAACTGAAAAAGAGAAGGAGGTAATGTGGAGGTAGTGGGAGTGTACAGAGAGCTTAAAAGTGAGACACTTTAGTTGAAAAGGCAAAGCTAGAAATTAGAATTGAACAAAAAAGTGAGATTAATCACGTTATGTTTAGATGGACCAATTTAGAAACTCCTTTTCGGTTCGCTTACCTGTATTGCTTTTTTGAGTTGTTTTGGCTGCTGCTGCTGTTTTTGCTGCAGAAATCGATTATTGGATTGTTTCGAACTTTTGGGATGTGTGGGGAGTTACGTTTAAAACGAAAATAGAAAATAGAAACAGCGCGGTTAGAAAATTACACGATTCGAAAAGTTAGAATTGAATAGGTTGTTTACCTTTTCGCTTCGATTTCGCGTCTGCAATTGCATCATCCACAGTGAGCAAGTGCATCCGCAGCTCGGCGCCGGAAGAGGCGTTCGTAAAAGACGATGCAGCAACGACGGTGCAGCGATTGACAGGCGGTGATGCAACCACAGAGCGAGTCTAAACAAGAAAGAGAAAAAGAGAAAGAGCGTTTTTGTGCCACCACCAACCGGACAATTTCGATTAGTATTTTGGTAATAAAATTACGTCATTTATAGTTTAAAACATTGCTTTTGCAGTTTTAAAATAATTTAAACAAATAAAAAAGACGGTAATTTACTCTGATTTAGTCTTACTAGTCAATATCATCTTTACTCTCAACCCCAAAAGACTGCCTTAAAGATGCTCCTAAACGACAATACACAGCTCTTTTTACCATCACAACCACAACTTCAACCTCAAACAACTTCAAAAAAGTTTCCCCTTGTCAAATCACAATCAGCTGTCGGCTCTACAACTGCAACAACAACAACAACAGCAACGGCAACACCGATTGTCCGAAATTATCATC